GAGTTTAAACACTTCCCTATGAGAAAGACTAGAATATTGGAAATGTTTTGGCTTAGAAAAAAGGCAATGGGGGGGGGCATGCTTCAAGTATATAAAATCATTTATGGCAAGGATTTCTCCATCTTTCAAAATATTAGGATCAGGGACCATACAGTGAACCTAATAGGAAGGAATTTTAAAACAGACAAAATCAGCAGAAATCATAACCAAAATATATGGCAATGGCCATTAACCTGGAAAAGATTATTAGATAAATTCATGTAGGATAGGTCTATCAAGGGTCACTGAAGACTCAGTGTTACCTTCAACTTGGGGACACCATGCCTTCAAATATCAATTCCAGGACACAATGTGGGAGTGGGATATGTCTCTCCCTCTGCTTGCAAGTACCCCGGGAGAATCTGGTCGGCCACTGCTAGAAGAATACTGTTTTCCTGTTATTACACCAGGCTACATTCAACAACTGATGAATTCAATAGCATTTTTCACTAAATATATAGAAGGCTATGCTGTAGAAATTAACTCAGTATAGAATAAATGGGGGTTATATAATGACTTTCTTTAGTTTTCCTAGTTAAGAAAGCAGAACTATTGAAAGGACACATTTTGACCAGATTTGAGGACTGAATAATGTGACTTGCTCAAAGCATACAATTAAAGGAGAGAGACTGTACTTAAACTGTCAGTATATACTTTTCCAATATATATTCTATATTTTCTCATCTCCTTGAAGCTAGAATTTTAAGAATTGTCTGCAGAACTTCACAGATGTCTTGGAGTCTACTTATGTAGCCCACATTCCATCCAGAGGTAGATCAAAACTAGCCAAATCAATAAAGCACACTAGCATCCACAGAATTTTCTGAGTCATATTCTGTTTTAGCTCACTCATCTCAAATCAGACTCAGTTCCAGGGACTGGAAGTAGCCAATGTGGCACCAAGTTTTCAAGAGAGAACTGGGGAGATCTGGAAACTGAAGATTGGTCAGCTTAACATCTCTTCTAGGAAAGTCAGTAGAAACAGTAATCAAAGAAAAATAGCTAGGTGCTTAAAGGAACATTAATAGCTAGTTTGGTAGTTTAGGAATTGGACTAGGGGCAAAAAAAACCAGGTTCTAGTTCTCCCTCAGCAGTGGAAGCTCATGAGGAGACTTTGGGCCAGTCGCTCTTTCTCTTCCTTAACAAAGATGTTGTTGTGGGAATAAACAACAAATCAGTAATAACAAATTAAAAAATAGGAGGAGGGGGCACTATGTACACCATCTTGAGCTCCTACATGAAAGGTTGGATAGGATCTCTTCAACTTGATCAACCAAATGGAAAATGCACTGCAGTTTAAGTAAATGTAAAGTAGCCATTGGGGCACATGAGTACCACTTTATTTACACTGAAATGGCCACAGCAAGAAGCAAAATGTTGGACTAAGATAAGGGCTGGTCCTGATCCAGCAGGGCTGTTCTTATGTCCATATGAATACCAGAAAAAGAACAATATTCAGAGGAAAGAGGATGAAATAAATACAAAAAAGGCCCTCCTGGATCAGATGAAAAATACCTTATATTCTGTTGCTACAATGGCCAATAGGTGCTTGTGAAAAGCCTAAAAAGCCAGCAGGAGTCTAACATTTTTGTCTAACTTTTCTCCAAAATCAATCCCTTTACCTTGGTACTAGAATCATATCATCAGTACCAAGAAAACACAATCATGTAACTTTTGTTTAAATGATTGGACTAATAGTCTGAAGTATAGAGATATTTGAACATACAACAATTTTTATCTAGAACCAGGTATGATTTCTCCATAAACACGACTAATCTCATCTATTAATGTACTTCATAAGCACCTTAAGAGGAGAAATCTAGAGAACATGGCATTCAGGCAGTCCTCAGGTTATGACGGCAATTGAAACAGCAGTTGGGCGATTCGCAACAGCAATCTTGGCAGTCCCCATTGCCTTTGTAACCCAGAACCGTGCGGGTCGTTAAGCGGGAAGCGGTGGGAGTCCTAGGTAAAGAGCATGGGGGGATGGGAGGTGTTGCGGACAGGCACTGGGAAGTGTGGGTAGGATGGCAAGGATAGCAGGCAGGCCAGCAAGGACAGCAGGTTGGTGCTGGGAAGCCTGAGTGGGCCAGCAAGGGCAACAGGCAGGCTGGCAAGGGCAGCAGGCGGGTGCTGAGAAGCAAGGGCAAGCAGCGGGGTGCTACAGAGATCCCTGGGATCTCGTACTCCGTAGGAGGGCTTCTTGGAAGAAAAGGTGACAGGAGTGACTTATGGGAGTGACTTGTGACCTTCCCTGCTGGCTTCCCCATTGACTTTGTTTGTGGGAAGCCAGCAAGGAAGATTGCATGACTGCAGTTCACTGTGACATCATAATCTCGAGCCAGGTGCCCGAGCGCTGGGATCATGATCACATGACTGTGGAGATGCTGTGATGGCTGCAACTTTGAAGACCTGTCGCAAGTCCCCCTTATTCAGCACCGTCATAATTTTAAATAGTCACTGAACAAGCAATCGTAAGTCGAGGACTACCTGTATTTGATTTGCACAAAGCTTCTGAAACGGCTCCACACAAAAAAGATTTAAAAACCCTAGAGATTAAAAAAAAAAAAAAGAATTTACTGTTAAGGCAGGAAACAACTACACAAATGAGGGAATTTTTACAAGTTAACAAAAATTACAAATAAATAGTTCTTCCTACAAATGTCCATATTTAAAATAACTTCCAGAGAGGCAGCAGCTGCAGCAAAAAGAAGAGATCCTGTGACATCTTAACACCAAGTTACAGCATAAACTTTCAGAGATTACCATACAGTCCATGCCTTCAGGTGAATGTTTATATTTAACATACTGCAGCTGAATTCCTTTGGAGTTAATAGTAAATAGTGAGGTAACTATTCAACATTCAGAATCCATGAAGCTCAAGCCTTGCTGACTTGAGGAGTCAGAAACAGAGATAATGCCACAGATTAAAAAAATAACTTAGCTGAGGCATTTACAACTTTCACAATTATGTGAAAGCACAACATTTCAATAGAAAAGAAGTTGAAAGAAGCTACTCTTATTTCAAATGTTCCCAGAAGCTATTCCACCTGAAATAATTAATACTATTCATCTCTGGCATTTTATACAAATAAGAGAATACTTGTTTTTCCTTCTACTTTATCTAGTAAGTATTTCAAAAGGGCAAGATTTTAGATATCAATGCAGTGAAGTTTCCTTCTCAATACACAAATCACAGAATCATTACTACAGTTCCTTCTATTTCACCTTCCAAAAGGTAACACCAACAATCATAAAGATACTATTTGTAGAGAAAAATACACATCACAGTTTCCATCCAACTTGCCACCAAAGGAATTTTCCAAATCTTATGATTTGCCATAGCAGCAATATTTCACCATTTTAAAGCAATTACTAATGTTCCAAAATTATAAAATAAAATGTAGAAAATTAAGTTAGTACAGTCTTAACTTTCATCACTTAATGATTATTCACTACTGATTTAAGCTCTAGATGAAATATTTATTGAAAGTACTAGAATGCGTTTTCTGTTAATGCATTATTCAAGCAGATATGTTTAAAATGGGAATGACATTAACAGTATTTCCTGCCATGTGCTTATATGAACACTCACATTTTTGTAATCAGACAGCAACTTGTCAGCTTTCTGTTCTAGGATAAGTTAGAATTCTTGCTTTGCCTAATTTGTATTAGCCAAGTGGAAAATCCAGTACTCTTTCTTCTCCCTAGTTAACTTAGTGTGACAACAAACATTAATCCTCTAATCCTATTCCATACATATCTATATTATATATCTATATTTGACCAGTGTTTTGTTTAATTCAGAGTTAATGCTAACTGCACTTAAAAAATGTGTTATAATCTCCATTTCATATACAACACATAAACATGTTTATTTTTTCCCCCAAGGGACACAAAAAATGCTGCACTGATCAATAAGAACTCCAAAATCCACAGATGAGCAGTTTCTTAATTTCAACTAACCAAAATACCACAAAGCACCAAATGTTCAAGTTCTCCGAAGTTCTTTTCCTATAACTTCAGACTGATTAAGAGTACCAAAAAGCATAAGAAGTACAGTATTTCACTATTTTGATTTATCCTCATGTTGCTGTTGCCCAACTGTAGATGTCTTTCCTTTTTCTCTAAATCTTTAAAAATATAAACTTGAACGTAATTAAAGTAAGCCAGTAGGAAAGTCTATAATGGTTAAGCCTTCAGTATATGCTCCTAAGCAGTCCAGATATTTCAGGCTATTTGCCTGACTAATTTACCTGGCATACATGTCCATGCAGGAAAACTCACACATGGCAGCCACCAGCTTTTCTTTGGATTATCAAATGCATTAATATCACATCAAAAATTAAATTTAAGCATGTACTAGGCAGCGTCAAAAAGCAGTATTCTCCTGAATGTGAAGTTAGATGCACACAGCCAACTTAGCAACAACTGGAAGACATCAAACACAGGCTTCACAAACACACCATGAAACAGTGACAGAGATAATAACAATATACCTGAGAAAGAAAATGGGTTTTTAATGACACTTTTTTTGAAAGTAGCAACTCTGACACCTTAAAAGCAATCGGAAACCTGACTTTCCTGCGCTACAGAAAGTGCTGAGAATTCCTCACAGCGTCAGCTGAAGAAGGAACTTCCACAAATGGACAATATCCCATTTGCAGGAAAAGGATGCTAGGAGTCCTGTGAGGATGAACGGGGAGCAGAAAGGGAAAAGCGAGAGAGGAGGTTATGTGGTGGGTCCCATAACCTTTAGGATGAGCGCCAATCTAAAGGAAGAGCATTTCTGAGTGGAAAGAGAGAGAAATAAATGATACTCGGCGCCACACCTCATCAAGTCCGCTGGGCTCCAGGAAGCGGGGGCGGGGCGCGGGGGGAGAGTCCGTATTATTTCCCGAAGCAATGCGGACCGAGGGATTCTTTTCACCACCGTGCAAACTATCCTCTCTCCCTAGTACCTGCTTTGCCAACCTTGGATGAGGTTGGTGTATTTGCTCAAGGCCCCCTCCAGAACTGCCTCCGTTCTCCTG